AAAACCCCGCAAAAACAAACAGAAAAACCACTGGGAGCTACAGCTTCTAATATTTAGCTGTGCTGAGAATACCAAAATAAATTTACTGTTACAGAAAGAACAATAGAATGTTCACACATGACAAGTCGCATGAGGCGTCATTATCTCGGCTTTATTTCTTGTTAAAAGTTAGTATTGATAGCTATAGGAATTCACAAAGAAAGGGTGTTCTGGGTCTCTGCTGTGATCACTTTGTTTTATGGATGATTTAAGACGCAAAAGTGGTTGGGGCCCTTTTCAGCTGTTCATGGGTTGTTGTTGTTGTTGTTTGGGTTTTTGTCGTTTTGTTTGTTTTTTACATTATGTTCAGTACTCTTTGACGGCCAGAGCATCATCTGGTGGAATCCCCACCTGTTGGTGTGGGCGGGTCTACAGAGCCGTGCCCAGAGAGTGAAGTGAGTGTGTGTTCCGGGGGTGACTGCTGACAGCGACTCCTGCTCTATTCTAAGGATGTCGTCACTGTGCTCACGAGGCCAACAGTTAGCGAGGAAACAATGGCACTGGCCTTTTCCCAGTCCTTATGAGTGAATAAAAGTGTATGGATGGTAAGAATCCCAACACTATGCATAAAAGCATAAAACAATGCTTTGAAGCTTACCTGAACATTCAAGGAGAAAATTCATGAGGTTTCAAGTCACTGGGTAACTGCAAGTTAAAATCAGTGTCCAAAATATGGAATGAAAATAGAAACTGACCCGCTTTGAGAAACAGGAGTAGGTTTTGCCACTGTGAAGATCGAAGTTAAAATGTATACGCTTCGCCCGCTGTGGACCTGGCCCATTTTCTTACATAGATGGTAACGGCCATGATATACATATGTGCTGCTATGAAGCAGGACCTACAAAGGTTTTATATCCAGAATGGCTCTACATGGCTCCCAGTCATGACAACAGCAGCTCCGCCTTTCCTTCTTTAATCTTGAGTTTAGCACCTGAGTTCTGTCCCAGCTTGAAGCCTCTTTTTTATGCTGTTCTGTGTGTATCTGTCAGAGTAAGTTTGGTTGGATTTTAATGACAACCAAAAGTACGTAAATGGCTCTACACAGAATAAACCAAGTCTCCAGTGGGATACATGTGTGTCTCTGTGTGTGGCTGTGCTCAGAGACCCAGACTGACAAACTTTTGTTATCCACTTCCCCAGAGAGGAAGAGATATTGGCTAAGCACGCACCCACTGGTAAATCTCCTACCCTGAAGTTACACCCAGCAGTTTTGCTTGCATTTCATTGATCAAAGAAGTCACATGACCACACCTAACTTCAAAGATGGGAACATGAATAGATTTTACTAGCCTTTTTATCTACCATGATTGTGGCCTCTTTTCATAGCTCGCTGTTACTGCAGCTATTAGCTCTTCAGTTTTGATGGTGGGTATAGCAAAGATTTTGGATTGAGTGTATTTATGTTAAATCATGAAACAGTTTTGAGAGCCACCTGTTAATTCTTATTAATTTCTGCTTCACGTTTTATGAGGATCTTGTTCTGCATCCTGAGATCTTTAGAAACCTAGGCCCCTTTATCCTTACATAACCTGGGTTCATCTCTGTGCTGTTTCCTTGTATATATATCTAGATCCCCACCCAGATGCCCCTGCAGTGTGTCTAGACATCCCATATGCCCCTGCAGTGTGTCTAGACATCCCATATGCCCCTGCAGTGTGTCTAGACATCCCATATGCCCCTGCAGTATGTCTAGACATCCCATATGCCCCTGCAGTATGTCTAGACATCCCATATGCCCCTGCAGTGTGTCTAGACATCCCATATGCCCCTGCAGTGTGTCTAGACATCCCATATGCCCCTGCAGTGTGTCTAGACATCCCAGATGCCCCCGCAGCATGTCTAGACAGCCCGTAAGAGCGTCGTGTGGGG